AGCTCTCTTTCTCTCTCCCGGTCTCTCTCCCGCTCTCTATCACTCTCTCTTTCTCCGAGCCCCTCACCCCCCTCCCCATTTGGCTGAACAATACAGCACTTTGAAAATGCTTCCTGCTATCAGGTACAGTCAGCCCAAAGATCTCCCGCCATCTCAGGCAGATACTAAATCACCGCCTGATTTGTAATTACTGCCATGGCAGCAGCCCGGTGCAGATGCGCCCGCTGCATATACGAAACACGAGGCTATCGGATGGCACAGCATCAACAGTCCATCTGACACCGTGACTTGCATGCTCGCCTACTGTCACATCCTGCGCTGTTAATAAAATAACGCGGTGCCCGTTTGATTGTCAGCGGCGTGGCTGGCCTGATTCAACGTCGCTTCTGAATCCTCCTGAGAGGCTGCACAAAGAATAAGACGAGCACGATCACAGCGCCCGGCGCTTCCTTGGTGCTACCATGGTGGTCTGAAGCTCAGGAAACAGATGGGGAGCTTAGAGGGGAGAGGAGAGGAAGAGTGTATGCTGGTACCAACTCACCCTCCCCTTTGGATCCAGGACGACTCCCGCACTCGTCCTTCCTTCAGCCTGCCGCCTGCTCGGGAAGAAGGGAGATAGAGAACAGAGAGAAAGAGGGAAAAGCTCAGATTCAAACTTACGGCATGTTCGTGACTCGATGATGAGCCTGGCCCTTCTGACTCTGAGAGTCGGGAAACAAAACGTGTAAAAAGACGGTCGTGGACAAGCCAAACAGGCAGAGGATGAGCGGAGAGAGCGAGCCGTAATGAACCACTCTTTCCCCTCTATCTGTACGCTCTCTCTCCCTCTTTTTCTTCCACACAGTTACACACACACACACGCAGCGCGGTGCGAGACGGAGCGGACCGGGGAGGAGAGTCATGACACAGAGGCACAGACAGAGTCAGCGACGCGATTCTTCCTCAAAGAAAAGCAAACGCTGGGAGCTCGAAAGGGAGCAGGTAGATAACAAGGGGAGCGAACGAGACACAGAGATGAAGGCAGAGAGAGAGAGAGAGAGAGAGAGCGAGCGAGCGTGGAGACACAGGCGGTGGCAGGAGCCTGGGCCACAGAGCCGAGAGCAGACCAGTATGCTGCTTCACCGAACAGAGAGAGAGGGAGAGAGAGAGGGAGAGAGAGTCCAGGAGCAGGAGGAGGAGGAGGAGGAAGTGTACACACACATATCACACACACACACACACTTGCCTTCCCTTGCACCTTCTCCTTAGCCTCTACTTACATTGTATCCAAACCTACAGGTCTGAGGCAGGTTGGCGCGAGGAAAAAAAAAAAAAAAAAAAAAAAGTGGCACGCGCCCACAACCAACACCACCACACACACACACGCGCGTGCGCGCACAAATCCAAGTTAAAACGAATGCGCCTGCTGATCTCTTGTCTCGCTCCACTCTCTCTCGTCTCTCTCGCCCTTTTCCCTCACATTGTTTTCTCCCTCTTTCAATCACATGCAGACCTGGAGAAGAGGAAAGGCTCGAGGAAAAAAAAAAGAAGAAAAAAAAAAGAACAACCCCCCCTGAACCTCACCCTGAGACTCCCTTCTTCTCCTCACCGCTCTCCCTCTCACCAGTATTTGTATACTTCCCCTTTTTCTTTCAGTCCTTCCTGTACTTTCTTTTCTCCCCTCTGGCTCATTGTCTTTCTCTTGTTGATAGGCAGGAGAAAAGGCAAAAACAGGAGAGAAAAGAAAGAAGAAGAAGAAGAAGAGGGAAAAAAAAACAGTAGAGAGGGAGAGAAATATCATCCATTAATTTGCCTCACAGCTGTATTCGCTTACAGCCAGAGGCCCTCTGCGAGAGACAGAGGGAGTGAGAGAGAATGATAGAGAGAGAAAAGAGAGAGAGAGCGAGAGTGTGTGTCTGGGGGTGGGGGGTTGTGAGAGAAAGTAGTCCTCCTTTCGTTGTTTTTTTCCACCTTGCCCGTGTCCGTTTTCCACCCATAAAACGAGTCCCGTGTTCTGCCTCAGTCAGTCTCTCTGACGCTCTCTTCTCAACGCATGCAAAAATCAAAATCCACTTTTCCAGTTTCTGTTTGTGCCTCTCATCTTACTCTGCGTCTCACACGGGCCGCCATCACTCACACTATCCCTTCAGAAAGACAAGCAGAGACAGACAGCAAGGGGAGAGACAGAGAGCGAGAGGGAGAGAGAGCGAGAGAGGCAGAGAGAGAGAGAGAGAGAGAGAGCGAAGGAGAGACGGCTCTGTAGCAACATTGCTATATGATGTGATTTGTCTTATAGAGGCTACATTTAATCTCCTCAGCTCCCCCAGGCTTGGGTATGGAGAGTGAGAGAGTGACTGAGAGACAGAGAGGAAAGGAGGGAGGACGGAGAAAAAGAGGAGAGATGATGGGGGGAAGGAACAGATGGAGCGGAGAAGGAGAGCGACGACGTACAACCCACTGTAGGCTCAAATCAGCGACGGGCCCCAGAGAAACAGGGAAACGGGGAAAAAGTATATTCTCCGAGACCACACTGCCCTCTCGCTTTCCTCCTGCTCCCTCTCCCTCCCTTCCTCCCTCCCTCCTGACTGATCGACCAACAGCGTCTGCAGCCCAGCTAATCTCCAACCCTTTCTGACTGCTGTCTGACAGACGGAGCATTGTGCTGGGTTTCTTTCTGTGTGCTGCCGCAGTGGCTGGAGGAGAGCCTGCAGCTGGATCTACCGCATGCTCCGTGGAAAAGCATGTATATGAATATGCAAACACGTGCAGCGCCTCATTTATCAACTGCTTTGTGTGTCCAGATAGAGACAGTCTTGGCCAAGTTGCTAATATTAGCCTGCTTTGAAGACGAGAGTCTGCAGCAGGCAGACAAAAGCGTGCACGTGCGCGCGCCCATGTGTGCACGCGCTGCTCACGTTACTCCATGCGGAGACAGGTGCAGCAGGTTAGCAGCAGCAGCAGCAGCAGCAGCAGCAGCATTGCTACATGCAAATCATACAGAAACTGATCAGAATGAATTCAATAATTTACACTGAAAGTGATGGTTAGGAGTCAGTGGCATTTCCAAAAAAGTACTAAGAATTGTACCAAGAATTGTACTACGAATTGTACTACGAAATACTGCAGTCGTGTGTCGGTCTGAACAGCAGTGTTGTGAAGGTGTGGGCAGACTGTGCTGGCCCCAGACAGCTGCAGCGGGTCAGTTCAGATGAAGCAGCGACCTCACAGGTTTATTGGTCACAGCCCATATAGAAACATAAACACACCACGACACACTTGTCCTCTGCGTTTAAACCGTGCATCGGGAGCGGAGGCGGTTTCAGGAACATCTGGGGATGTGAGGAATTTTTGGTGCAACAAACCACAGCCTGGTTTGAATCCTGTAGGTCTCTAATAACAAGCCCACTCCTCTGACTGCACCACTGGACCACAGGCTGGGACCAGAGGACCGGGGTTGGAGTTTGTCTCAGAGATCAACAGTAAAGATTGAAAAAAAAACTAACAGGATAAATAGTTATTTAATATTATATTAATAATAATGTAATACATGTTTTTATATATGAAAAACTCTAAGAAAATGGATAAAATCAAAATCGAACGCTCCCTCGTACTTTCTCATTTCCATGAATGCATCACATGACCACGTGTTCGACACCAAATCAGGGTTCAAATCTTTCGACGTCTGCAAAGACGCCAAACCAAACCAGTGTCCTACTGCTGGACATTTCACAGATTCAACCAACAGGGGGCAACCTTCTGCTCACATAACCTACGCGTGCACACACACACACACACACACACACACACACACACTGATAGATGTGGAGACGACAGCTCAGCCAAAGTGTGCCCTGAGTGCAAACCATGTCATGGCTTTTGACGCTGCACAAATCCAACAGCGGGGATTTGAACAACTATTCTGCAGAGACAGTGAAGGCAACGTCAGTGTCCAATGGTTTGATGAGAGTAGAGAGAGAGAGAGAGAGAGAGAGAGAGGGAGGTCTGAACACGAACTGCCCAGGAGTAGAAGAACTCCATGGAACAGATTGGAAACAAATCACTTTATTTAAATGATGACATTTTCATTTTTGGACAGAAATGTGTTTTCCCACCGGGTATCGGCGCGTCTGCCATTTTGACAGCTGTTTTTCATCTGATTGAAAACATTGTGACAATTATTGTTAACGATAACAGTGGATTCAAACGTGGGTAAATGCGCTGCGTCGCGTCTCATCTCACGCACGACAGGAAAAGTCACACGTTATTATCCACACAACCGTTGTTGTTGTTGTTGTCACAGAGAGAGTAATAAAATGACCTCAGAGTGGAAGGGCACCAGTGTTTCCAGCCTGCAACAATTGTCAGAGCCCACTCCTGTGCCTCAGCTCTGCTCCTCTAACTTCACCAGAGTGGGTTTTTTTTTTTTTTTACCTCTAAATAAGCCAAACCAGAAGGCTTAAAGGAACTTAAAGGAACACAGGGTTGGAAAACCATCTCGTTGACTTAAAGGAACACAGGGTTGGAAAACCGTGTTGGACTCAGGTAATCACTGTCCAACGCTGGTTCTGCTTCACTGACTCCTGATTTTATTAATACATGTGTCTGTACGATGGGACATGACCAAAGTTTAGTTTCAAAGTTTCCAAACTTTTCAAAAAATTACAGCACGTAAAACTCCAAAGCAAAGAGAGCATTAAAAAATCATATATTTATAAAAACACTCAAATTTAGACTTTACTACAGTGTTACTATTCTAAAAAAAAAAAAAAAAAAAAAAATCAGATCACACATTGACCAGTGTATGAGACAGATTTTGGGCTTTTTAAAAAATACAATTTTAGGATTTAAAAAAAGCGCAACACATTTTCATATCGAAGAAAAATATTTAATTAGTAACAAGAAAAATACTGAATTTAAATTGCAGATAAAAAAATATTGACTAAATATTTAGCATTAATTTAATAATGTCAATGGCAGGAACAGTTTATGGTCTGAGTATTTGAACCTCTTTGTTATTACTTGAAAACTTTTTTCAAACCGGGTGACTGCACTGCTGTGATAACATTTACACAAAATGCACTCATCTACTTAGTGACCTCATCTGTCCTGGTGATAAAATTTCACAACTGATTCAGTTTGTCAACTTTAAAAATTCCAAAATCCCTCAAATGTTAGTTTTAAACTTTGTGTCACTGACAGTTTTAACCACTGTCTGTTGTCACTGTTTTTTTAAAGGAAAAACGTCATAGCTATTGATGGTAAATGTTTTTATTCAAAATAGTAATATAGTTTCCATCTGTAACACCCTTTCACACACACACACACCAACACCAGATTTTAATAAGTGTGTTTTTTTTATATATATATATATATATATATATAATACAGGTTGTTCCATCACCAAACAGCCTGGGATGCTAATAGCCACACAGAGTGTGAGAGATCAAGCTGACAGCTTGATTGTGTGTGTACGTGTGTGTATTTGTGTGTGTATAACTTGTTCAGAAAGCACATTTGTACTGTATTGATCCAGCTGTGCAGAGAAGCATGCGTACCTCAGGGAAAGCTAGGAGGTTGTACAGTTATCTCCTGCGGTGTAATTCTCAACTATACAACC